TGACTCGAGAGAAACGTTTTTTTTTTTTTTTTTTTTTTTTTTTTTTTTTTTTTTTTTTGAGGAGGGGCTGAGAGGTCGACATGGATTAGAATAACTTCTCTGCAGCATGAATTGTGCCCTGCAGAGGTTATGGGATGTAATAAGCCTAGCTTTGTGTAATATTTATATTGCAAATGCGAAGGACTCTTTGGGGGGAAAAAGAGGCATTCATTCTCTTCAATGGCTTTAGAGGAGTAAAACCCAGGTGTAAAAGTGAAATCTGATGTATTTTCTTAGCACTTTATATACTGTAATCTGTATGTGTGTGTCTGTCAGTGCACGTACTGTAGAAAAAGAGGAATGCGATAGAAAAGTTTGGATTTATCATTGTGCATAAAGATTATTTTATATATATATATATGTATATATAGTTCTCGCATAGAAATATTGAGTTCTTGTCTGTGGGCATTCGCGCGTGGTGCAAATAAGTGGAAAGCTCAAGATTCAGCATAGCAACCTGGCGGTCTCCATTTTAAACCAACTTTTTTTTTTCCTGTTCTTTTTAGCCTACTCGAAGAAGAGTCTGTTATTCTCCCTCTGTATATTGACTGACCTGACAATGACTATTAATTCATAAGGCTGCCTAGTTAAGTGGAATTTAAGGAGTTTCATTTTACCCTGTTGGAATGCAATAAAACACGATGTTATTAACTTGCCTGAACAATCTATTCGTCGAGGCTTGGAGTTATTTTGTACACAGTAGCCGCACCACGGGGCATACTGGGAGGGCTGGGGTTTCTTTTTCCCCGTGTTTTTCTTTTTGGAAAGAGAGCGGTACTAACGCACCCCAGGTTTACTGTGCAGTGGATATATGATCCAGTTAAGGTCATGCAGAACAAAACCAGCCTGGATGCAAGTTAGAAAGGCGGCATTAACCATTTCTTGTACTGAGCCCTGCATCGACCGCCGAGACAGAGCACTCGCGGTTAAGAAGTCTCTCTCTTTTTTTTTCCTTCTTTCTCTTTTCTTTTTCTTTTTTTTTTTCTTTTTATTTTTTTAATGCCTTGAGAAATATATGAGAATTAAAGGGAAAGAAAGTAAGCTTCCACAGTGATAAATGCAGCGAGTAGAAATAGGCTGATCTAGAGCAGAATAGAGTAAGACATTCACAGCAGATTAACAAAGCAAATACAAGCGACTGTATAGATAAGGTAGAAAGCAGTTTATTGACGCAGCGCTTATATACAATAAAGTTAACCAAGCTCATTAACATCTTTTGCTGGGCTGTTTACAGAATATCCAAGGGATGACAGGAACTCCGATGGTGGCTGCTAGTCCTGAGAGACACGATGGTGGTTTACAGGCGAACCCAGTGGAGGTGCAGAGTTACCAGCCGCCTTGGAAAGTACTGAGTGACTTCGCATTGCAGAGTGACATAGATCAACCTGCTTTTCAGCAACTAGTAAGTGTCAGTTCCCAGCCTGAATAGGCCAGTGTCTACCCGGGGGCAGAGCCATGGGGGGATTTTCTAAAGCTGACGATGCCCTCACAGAGATGGAGCAATTCAGACTAGCAGAGTTTTCCTGAAAGTACAAGGTGGGCAATTATGATAATGTGAAAATCCATAAATGCAGCAAATTCAACTGATTTAGCAGGGCTCGATGCAAAACCTACCGTTGTCAACAGCAGAGTTCTTGTTGGTTTAAGTAGAATCTGGGTAAGGCCTGACCCAGCCCTGAAACTACTTCAGCTCACTTACTCCTGAAAACCAAAAGCACCTCTATCTAGAGAACAAAAACATTCTTCTTGTGTCATTTGATGTTATATATATTTATGCAAACTGTTTCTAAAATTTGATTCCCAGCCAATTTCAGCTTTAAAATATAGGATTAACTTTAATTATATGATTGCAATGTCAGTCCGTGTCCTTGTTTTCTCACACAAACAGGAATAGTTTAATTGAACTGTTGAAACCTTTGTTTTACACATGTACCTCTGGGTATAATTTTGTGTAGATATAAATACAGATAAATACACATATGTATGTATATATATAGAAGCATATATATACAAACACACATACATATATATCTCTGGCATATATATGTTGTGCCGCGGAAAGGGAATTGTTAATATGTGGTCACATGCAAAAGCAAAACAATATGCTGAATTGCCTTAAGCCAAAAGAAAACAGGCATTTTAGAATAATTTCTGTTCTTAACTCACTTCTTTATGCCTACGTCATTTGGCAGCTCATATGGGACCATATCATCTGCAATACTTAGGCCCAACAAGGTGAATTAAGGACAGAAGTTCAACCTTAACTCAATTTCCTGGCCTAAGTGTGTTAAAACCAGATCTTTAAAATAATAAGGTATGTTGTGTATGGTTTTTCAGTGATTCAGAATAACTAATGATGCAACATTACTATATAGACCATTTTTTGATTGGTTGGGTGTTTTTCTTCAACATGAATTAACACAAAATAAGGATTTGTAGCTATGCCAAGAAATGTTTTCAGGCTGTTTCAGCTTAGTGTCCCACTCTTCCAGGATTTTTCTTTTCTGGGCTATGGCTAGTTCACAGGCTCCCCCGGCACACTGTGTGCTCCAGAGCACAGCCGCTTGTACCACCTTTCCTCCCGAGCTGCCCCTGTTTTTAATCAAGCTGTCGAGCAGACTCAAGAAAAAAATGATCTCTTTCGGCTACCTTATTTATTGTGCCTTAACACAACAAGACTTTAAAAGCATATAGACAAATAGTTAAAGAACTGTGGACAGAACAGATAGCTCAGGGACTATTCACACCACTGTTTGCCCATCTCTAATCTCGAAAGGACCTTAATCACGGAATGGGCCAGCTAAATAGGTGCCAAGGAATTGCATGTGGATTAGGAAGGCTACATCCTTCAAATGTCCCTTCCCAAGGCTGAGCCTGACCTAACAGAAGTTGTGGGGCTTGTTAGAATAGACAAACCTCCTTTTTTTCTTTCTTTTTTTTTTCCCCACAACTGACTCTTATTAGAAAGAGATGCCACCCCTTCCAAAGAGCATTTGGACCAAAAGGATGGTTTGCTTAAAGGAAAGTATCTTCTGCTCCTGAATATTTGCCCCAGGTTTAGTGTAGTATGTGCACAAGAGGGGAAGAAATAACCTTGCAGTCTTGTGTCAGAAAACACTTGAGCTCCTAAATAATTGACTAGAACATCCTGTTGGGACTGCCACTCTTGCAAGATGTGGAAGAAGGCCTCATTAAAATGGTTGTTTGTTTATTTACTTTACTTTTTTTTTTTCCTGATCTGATTTCTTTGGTTATTTGACCCAAAGACCTGAAGAAGATTCCAGTGTGGAAACTAAACAAAACAACAAACAGTGACACAGCCTCCTGCTGAGATGCACCAGGCCTTTCGGCCTGTATATTTATTTTTTTTATCTTCTTTGCCCCTCTTGCTACTTTTCTTTGTTTGTTACAGTTGTAACAATTCTGCTTTTTCTTATTTTTCTTCCTTTTTTTTTTTTTTGGCAGGTTAATTTTTCAGAAGGAGGACCTGGTTCCAATTCCACTGGAAGTGAAGTTGCATCAATGTCCTCTCAGCTCCCAGATACACCAAACAGCATGGTAGCCAGTCCTATTGAGGCATGAGGAACATTCATTCAGATTTCTGTTGTTACTGTTTCTGCCCTTACCCTCACCCCTGTTGGAGTGAGTGGGAAAATGATCACGTTGGGACTCCAAAATTTAGAGGGAAAATTATTTAACAGCCCTGTAATGAACCTAGCAAAGAACCGCTCCATGAGATGAATGGAGTCTTGTTTGAAATGACAAGGTAATATGGTAGCAACACTGTGAAGACAATCATGGGATCTTACTAGAATAAATATAAAACAAAAGCCCACGCTATTCAATGATCATAGGAGGATTGAAAAGATGATTTCAAAAAACGTAGAGGTTGTACTCGTGGATCTCAAAGAAAGAAAGAAAGAAAAAAAGATAAATAAATTCTTTTTTATTTGACTGCATGTCTTAGAGAGAAACCAAGGTAGAGGGACTTTCTATCTAGTCCATCCTAATCTGAATGGTGCTGTTTCTATATTGGTCATTGCCTTGCCAAAAGGAGCTCCAACTGGTTTTCCATCATCAGGAAAGAGACGATTTAGCCCTGCATTCTTGAAAGATTCATTGCAGGAATGTGGAGCTGAGTTGGTTTGGTTTGCAACGGTGGTTTTTTTCTTTTTTGTTTTGTTTTGTTTGTCTTAAGTTGACTCTTAATGTGGCAATGCTTCTTGGGTCTCTTATAGCATGTACTGTAGCGGGGTTTTGATTTTTTGTTTGGTTGAGATCCATCCTCTATCAAGTCTGAAGCGATTAAAATAGGTTTTAAAATTCCTCCTTCAGAACCAATTTATAAAAGCATTGCAACAAGGTATAACTCTATTTTGCCACAAAGCGTCTCGGGATCGTGTTTGAAATGTGTCCGTCCAAGAACCTTCCCCTCCCCCAAAGATGTGTTTAGTCCTTGGTTAAAACGACTATTTTTCTCTCTTTCTCTCTCTCTCCTCTCTCTCTAGAAATAAAGAGGAAAAAAAAGGGGAAAAAAGAAAAAGAAAGAAAGAAAGAAAGAAAGAAAGAAAGAAAGAAAGAAAGAAAGAAAGAAAGAAAGAAAGAAAGAAAGAAAGAAAGAAAGAACCTCTCTCTGTCTCTTTCTCTCTCTCTCTTCTCTCTCTCTCTAGAAATAAAGAGAAAAAAAAAAGAAAAAAAAACAGAAAAAGAAAAAAAAAAGAAAAAACCTGCCCTATTTGTTTGCTCTTGCATTGCAAAATTATAAAGTAATTTATTATTTATTATCGGAAGACTTGCCACTTTTCATGTCTTTTGACTCGATTTTTTGTTTGCTGAAGAAAAAGAAAAAAAAAAGAAAAAAAAAGAAAAAAAAAGAAAAAAAGAAAAGATTGTACCGTGGTCTTTGAATTATATGTCTAATTCTATGTCGTTTTGTCCTTTTTTTTTCTTAAATATTATGTGAAATAAAAGCGCCATATGTAGAATTATTATATCTTCAGGACTATTTCACTAAATAAGCGTTTGGAATAGAGAAAATAATAAGAATATTAATATTAATATTAAATAATGAACAAAGTTCCCTCTTTTAAATATTTACAAGTTAGCAGCTAAAATACCTGAAATAAAATATTGCATGCAAAGCAGGTCGTTATTAGATGAAATCAGTGTGATATTTTATTGCAAGTATTAACGACCAGCTTGTAACTTTCCGTTTCAACAACTGTATCAGGGCTAGTTTAATGCCTTAGCTTTCAATTGATAACATTAGAAGCTCTCTCTCCCTCCCCCTCATCCCTTGCCCTTAAAAGTGATATTACTCTAGGCAGGATCTGACATAATGTTAAGACATCTAAAGAAGTGGGAGTTCAGGCTTTTTGCTGGGCTCTGTTATTTTTATTATTATTTTTTTTTAAAAAAAATAAAGTGCTGTATACCAAAGCCTCGTTGTTGAGATTGTTGAAGTGACCTGTACTTTAAGTAGAAGCTCCTGATAAAAGGGACGCTTTTTGCTTAACAAGTCAAGTATGACCATTATTTATCAATGTCTGCTGTGTAAACGATAGAGAAATGCTGCAGAAAGAATAGGGTTGAGGGGATATTGCTGTGAAATTGCACGATCGGTGTTCCTTTATTTTCTGTCGGCTTCCCTCTCTTCACTCCCTCTTTTCTTTCTTATTTAATTTGCGGGGGAGGGGGTGGTGAAAGCTAGAAGCGTGGGCGATTTCTCGAGGAAAAAAAAAAGGTAGAAAAAAAAACAAAACAAACAAACAAACAAAAAGCAAGCAAACAAACAAACAAAAAACATAGAAAAGGGTTGTTTTTCCTCCAAACTAATGTTCCCTAATGTTCCCTAGTGCTCCAGGCCAGCACCAGACAAATGCTCGCTTTAAAAAAAATCCTTAACAACTGGAATATACAGAGATTTCCAGTCTGGCAAAGACAAGTTGCTTTGCATGACAGTTACTCCAAAGGCTAATGTTTTCTTAACATAACCTTCTTTTTCCTCCCTCCTCACCATCTCAGCCCACCCTGAGCAAGCTGTTATAGAGACATACCATTTCGACGGTAGAGAGAAAACTAAAAAGAAAAAAAAAGGATAAAAGTCTAATACAAGGATTTCAATCATCCTGATTAGAAACTGGATTCATTTTGTATGCTCAGGTGTAATACGTTTTTTGAGTACTTGATAAATATTTAAATAAATATGAAATCTACCTTAAACTGTGTGCCCAGTAACCCTTATGTTTCCACGCAGGCTCCGAGGCTTGGCCCGACTCCGCGGGGGGCGGGAGGGCGCGGGGAGCACTTTGCGCTCACCTGTGAGTTGTCCGAGACCTCCGCGTTGGGGGAGGATAGGGGGTCCCCGAGCCCCTCACTTGGGGGGCGGCTCTTGCGGGGCCCTGTCCAGCCAGGGAGAAGACGGAGCCGCTGCTGCGGGCG